TGTTGGCGTACACCGTGTAGAATCAATGTCTTAACTGTTGAGCTATGTTCATGTTGGCGTACACCGTGTAGAATCAATGTCTTAACTGTTGAGTTATGTTCATGTTGGCCTACACCGTGTAGAATCAATGTCTTAACTGTTGAGCTATGTTCATGTTGGCGTACACCATGTAGAATCAATGTCTTAACTATTGAGCTATGTTCATATTGGCGTTAAAATACGTATGTTATAAAACAAAATCCACGGCAGTGAATGGATAATAGTATTACTACTACCTGGTGTCTCTGTTAGACACCCTTTCTCTATCATTTTCTTCTCATCCTACCAAGACCCTTTTCATTTGCCTCATCAAATTTCAATGATATTATGCATATCTGCAACTCTTATAGCACGTTCTTATGTTTGTAAAATTTTAGGTTTCTGCTGAAGTTGACTGGAAGTGACGAAGAGATCAATCTTTTAGGTGATGGGACTGAGAAACCCGAGTTTGGCGAATGGTCATGGATGTCACCTGAACAAGTAGTCGAACGTGTAAGTCGACACGCCATTAACATATCATTAACCAAAAGAAGCTGAGAAAAAAAATTAATCTGAATGACTAGTTGGATAATTCAACTTACATTCAAACTCTATCATGCAGGCTGTAGATTTCAAGAAACCCGTTTACAAAGACGTTCTAACGGTATTCAAACCCCATCTCGAGTAATTTTTTTCTCTACTACAAATATTTATACTTGTCCCTTTCAATAATGTTGGTTTAATTCTTTAGTTGAATGAACTTAAGTTAAATAAAAACATGTCACAAGCTTGATTGGGGAAGTAGTCTTCCTTCTTGAATGATGGTTGGTTATAGCGTTGTGTTCTTGGAATGAGATTATTGCAAATAAGTTCACATGTAGATTGCTCTCATATATTTGAGAATAATTCATGTTTTCTTCAATGGGAACAAGATTTTATACAGGTTTGAAGATGGATATTTCTCTACTGTTATTTAAATCACAATTACAGACATTATTAATTGTACTAATTAGCATTTGATTTGTTAATAATCAATTGTAACGAAACTCGAACTTTGGAGTATGTTGTTGATGTTAGAAATCACGGACCTCACAATGGTATGATTTTGTCTTACTTTTAGCCTAAGTACCTGTGGATTTGCTTTTGATTTTCCCTAATTGTTTTATACCAAGAGGGATGTATTCCTTATTTATAAATCCATGATCTTAATGCGGGACTCCTCTCAACAATTTATTACAATACGCCCGTCAAACAAAGTACACTATAGAGCCTCTCATGAGGCCCATGGAGTCCTCAAACAACCTCTCCTTACTCATGACTCGATTCCTCAGAAAATCTACCTCGTATTCCCTTATTTCTGGGCTCGGGTGGATCCTTGCAAATTAAATAGGTATCTTTATTTTAAACGGTACATTTTTTGGGTCTTTTAATGTCTAATTGAACAATGTGTGAAAGTCTAAAATCTCATTGGACACCATTCGAGAAGAGCTAAATTATGATGATACTAGTTCAAGGTCATTCAAACTTAGTTAGTCTTCACGTCATTAATAATTATCATAGTTTATGTTAATAATTATGATAGTTCAATAACATAAACGCTAATTATCATTATTATTCACAAAGTTGAAAAATAATCATAGAAAATATATTCATGAAAACCCAACAAATGGATATCAAATTAACAAAGTTAATTTTATTTGTTGCATAATAATCACATCTAAACTACGAAGGCAACCTATTTTTACTTCAGCAAATAAATTTAATGTAAATAAATAATTGTATAGTTTAATAATAATAATAATAATAAAACTAGAACTATTTTCAATTTATTTTAAATATTACAATAATATAAATATCAATTCAATCTCTATTTATCGAGTTAAAAAAATTAATACAACTCTAATAAAAATATCATAAAATAAAATTATAATTTGAATATTTGTATTAAAATTTTATTGATCATCGGCATTGTTCCAAACATTTAACAAATGCTTTATTGATGGAAATTAATTCAACTAAGGCATATCAATCTGCTACTACTACTTCTAATATTCACTGCTACACAAATCTACAACTATGCATAACTTGATAAAATCAAATCAAACACAAACAAAATCAATGAAATCTTGGTTATAAACACCTGATCTATCATCACACCTCATCAAAAATCCTTTGTATATGACGACGAACAATCTCGGCCACGACGTCGGGCGAGAATCGCCTGACCATGTCCTCCCTCGCCCTCCGCCCTTTCTCCTTAGCTTCATCGACGTTGGTCATTACCTCCCTCATTAAAACTCGAAGCTTACTAATGGATGGCTCAGCCCACAGATGCCCTTTGAATGGCCCTTCCTTCACTTCACTCATTCTCTCAACTGCCAATGGATAGCTATTCTCATCGGTCAAAAACTCCGTTTGCCCCGACCAGTTGGTGGCGATCACCGGCAACGACATCGACATCGCTTCGACTAGCGGTCTCCCCCACCCCTCTCCTCGGGACGGCAGAACAAATGCATCTGCAGCCTTGTAAACTCTAGGCAAATCAGTTTGAGCTATATGAGTATCAACCACATGAACAGGAGCCCAACCAGAAGCTGGCCTTTGAATGCCTGAGTGTTCTACAAAATCCAATATCTTGTTCCCAAAATCACTATCAGTATGGTAAGGATTTGTCAATAAGAACAACGCAACTCCATCATTCTTGGAGAATTCTTTCAAATATGCTTCTAATAACAGATCCCAACCTTTTCTAAATTCCCATTTGAAGATACTCAAGAACACAAATCCCTTCTCTAAGCTTACTTCTTCCATGTTTTTGTCTCCTAGAACAAGAGTTCCTACAGATTCAAGACTAAATGGACTATAATTCAATGGATCAAAGAAATTAACATCAACGGGTTGAACAATTTTCACTACTTTAGAAGGATCAACCCCACTTTTCACAAATGTAGAGACATGAAATTCAGAAGGAACCCAAACAAAATCCATTTCATTACAACGATTAACATGTTCTTGACTTACTCTATCAGTTTCAAACATTGTTCTGCCAATCACTGACTTGAAATTTTGGTAAACACCTGGTGGGCAAGGAAAAGTTTCAAACAAAGGAGGATTCCAAGCACCAGGTTCACTATGACAAACCACAATAGTTTCATTGATTCTACATTTTGTTCTATGAAGTTCAATGGCCAAATTCTTCACAGAATCTGGTAAGCCCTCCCAAAAATCAATGGATTCTAGATCGCCATGTTGCTCAATAGCCAAACGAAAATTAGGGTTTCTTACATGATCGTGAAGGGCTAAAATGTAGGACCAAGCTTCTGAACTGTATCCGCCGCCGGAAAGAAATGGAGCCATCCAAAGAACACATTGAGAGGACGTCGAAAACGGATTAGGAACAGAGGTTTGCTTGGGATTTCGAGATGCGTTGAGACGATCGATGAGTTCTTGAAAAAGGGTTTTAAGAGATTGAGATTTGAAATGATCTTTTTTGGTGAAAGCGAAGAGGGAAATTGATAGAAGGAGGATGAGAATGGATGAACAGTAGAAGAAGATCATGGAAGAAGAAGAAGGTCGGGATTTGAGAGAGTGGGAATGTTTGGGATTGGGAAGTGGTCGATCTGTGAGGTGAAGGTCATCCATGGCGGTGGATTTGGGGGAACCATGCGCTTTCCGATTAAGCCAACCCAAATTTTGGGAGAGACGGAGAGAATTTTAGAAGTTTGGAATTTAAATCTCACTTTTTTTTTTTCTTTTTTTTTTTCCTTTTAATTTACACTTTCAAACACAATTTTTATATCATACCGTAATTTTAAATAATTAAAAATATATTTGAGAGCGATTTTAAATATAAAGTTAATAATAATAATAGTTAATAAAAAGTTTAAAAAATAAAAATAAAGAAAATGTATTTGTGATGTGTGTGTGTATATATTAATCCACAATAATGTAATTAATAGCTAAAACTATATATATATATATATATATATATATAGTTTTAGCTATTAATTACATTATTGTGGATTAATATATTAACATATTTTGTATCATTATTGTTTTACAATATGATGTATCATATTTTACATATTTGAATAAAAATAAAAATAAAATGAGGTTATAATCTGAAATTTTTTTAAATTTTTTTTTTTAAAAAATAATTATGCATTCATAAATCTAACATTAAAAATGTAATAATTTTACCAATTTTACCGAATAAAAAGTGTCATGGTCATGCTTTCTTCTTCTAAGTTATCTATTTTATGAGTAACATGTCGTGATCATGCTTGTCTAGAACGTGTTGTCTATGACCGTTAATCTATTTTAAACCCTTTGTACATACTTTCTTCTTAGATAAGCTTTTACATACCTGTATAACTATTCACCAAACCCATGTTTACACCCGCAAGTATTAAAATGCACCAAAATGTAATATAGAGGGATAGGACTAGTTTACTTCTTACCTAGATTATATGTTATCGAAACCGTCCTTGTTACATACTTGTTTTTAACTTATAACATTGTTTTCAATGTATATCCTCGTTCACATTTTTTAAAACATTTATCTCAAACATGTCTCAAGTCTCGAGCATACATCGACTTTGTCAAATTTCTCATGGTAGACTTGTTCGCTGAATTAGAACAAGTGGCACATAAAATGTAATATAGAGGGATATGACTAGTTCATTTCTTACCCATATTATATGCAATCGAAACCGTTCTTGTTACCTACTTGTTTTTAACTTATAACATTGTTTTCAATGTATTTCCTCGCTCACGTTTTCTAAAACATTTATCTCTAACGTGTCTCAAGTCTCGAGCATAAGTCGACTTTGTCATCAAAGTCTAAATTTTTCATGGTAGACTTATTCGCTGGACTAGAATAAGTGACACACAGTCGGTTAAAAGGAATGAGTTCACTTCACGGCAACTACCGACCTAGGATTATGCTACTCCCGGACACTCGAACAATCGAGAAACAGGCATCATCAACCTTCTAATTTAAATAAACAGTCTGCACTGTTCATCATTATTTAAACTTAAAAGCGAGAGGATTTGTTCAGAGTTATACAGAAAGTTTTCCAGAAATGGAAAGGCATAACCTGGCTGTGTCCCTCTTGACACTGAAAATGCTTAAATTTCCTCAAAGCTTAGAAGATAAGCGGCTTAAGCAAGCTTCAATTGATCCATGGGGTTCATCAGTTGGCAGATACACATCATCCTCAAACTGCAAAACAACACCATCATTCATTTCCGTAAGATTTTTTTCTTCCTATTTTTGTGATATAGTTCATATGTAGGGAGACTTTTAGCTATACAAGTATAATGATGATTGTAATTGATGCTAAAAAGCCGTGAGATTACGAGCTTCTTTGGAATGACTTTCTAAGTGTTTAAAAAATGCTATTAGAGCAAAAAATGGTACTTTTAAGAGCTTCTTTGAAATGACTTTTTAAGTGTTTAAAAAATGTTATTAGGGAAAAAAATGATACTTTTAGGAGCTTCTTTGAAATGACTTTTTAAGTGTTTAAAAAATGCTATTAGGGCAAAAAATGGTACTTTTAAGCACTTAGAAAGTCATTTTAGCCCTATATTTCGGGCTAACGACAACATAGGTGCTAAATTTAATCTCATTATTAAAAGGGTTGCAAAAAGGAAGAATGAATGTAAATTATAAGCATTGGCACTGAATGAAAAACTTGGACGTCCATCTAAAAAACCTAAGAAATTCTCAGGAATTTAGTGAATTATTGCCAAGATTAACCAGAGAGTTAATAGAACAAAGATAGCAAGAACTGAAATGGGTAGGAGATTGGCAACAAAGATAGCAAGAACTCTGCATGAACTCAAAATAAGTTTGAGAGTCTAAGCAGGGTTGCACATAGATTATCAGATCGCAGCCTAGACCTATTCAATAAATGTGGAAAACGAAAAGTGAACCGTTGTAAGCAGACTCTTACCTTAACGATACTCCGATTATCTTTCGTTGATATGTTGACAGGTAAGAAGTGGAGATTTGGCATTTTCAGCCTCACTGATGATATAACATGGAACCTAAAATAGTGGAAATCCAGAAATTATTAACAGAGTTCAAACATTTAAAGGAATTTAGTACAATTGAGCATTCACCTGCTGAGAACGTTATTTGCCATTTCATAAAGAGTGTATTGAACAGATGGGCTATAAACTCCCTCTTTTGGAGGACCAAAGAAGGTGTCAGCTAACACTTTTTTGACATCAAGGTATGTTTCCGTGAAGTAACACTGCTGTTTAGGGATACTGGACATAGATTCAAATGAATACCTGCATCAAAGTATATAAATTTTGTTTGTGAACCAAATACTAGAAACCAAACAAAAACGAAAACAAAAGTACTTGGAATTGATTGCTCTTCGACCTGTGCAATAATAAGGCAAGAGAACCAGAAGCTATATGAGAAGGTATTAGTTCTCAGACAAAAGTCTGATCATTAAAGAATATACCTCCATGAAGCAGAAACCTTGGTGGCCAATATCCTCTCTCGTGTCTCAGGAAGAGCTGTGTACTTGTCCCGAAAAAATTGCTCAAAACCTGACTGCTCGCTCACACGATAAAGTTCAGAGAGAAAATAGCAAAAACATAAGATATCTAAACAGCATCTACTAGTAGAAAATTTACTGAAATTTTTGTCTGCTATGTATTCTACAAGTTGATCAAGTGCCAACTCTTGATTAAAAGGAAACTTTACCCCAGGATACACCAAATCCTTCTTGAGTGACATCAAAGCTAATCATGCCAGCTAAGTAATTTACATTAAATGGCTTTTAGATTGTCATCATAAAATCATAAAGCTTAGACTTCAAGGAGAATTCATGTTCAATCAAAATCTGACTCTTGATGTTTCTCAGATAGTTTGCTCCTAATGCCTGAATCATGAGGAGAATCTCTAAACTATATATGGACACAGCTGCGTCTGTACCAGCTAAGTAGACCTTTGACATTGGAAAATTTCAGGGTACTTCTGAGTTTGAATAGATTTGGATATGAAGGGTGAATTTTAGGTATAGAAATGTATATTGCTGATAAAGAATAGAGAGAAGATGACGCAAAGCTGATGAGGTAGACTATGCAGAAGTGGCTTAATTGACTGATAAATGAAATAAAATAGCTTTCATTATTGAAAAAACCGCCAGATTTTAGAATAAGAAAAGCTGGTGCATCTCAGTTAGCACTCCTTCAATATAAAGACATCATTATATAACCATGAGTTGTATATAGTGATGGATTTTGAATACGTATCTAAAAGAGCAGACTTACTTGAGTTGTCTTCAGCAAAGACAGTTCCTCAATGCCAGAGCTCACTTGTAACGCACCTGACTTCTTAAATATCACCTCTGTAGTGTGCTTTTCAGGTCCAAGTTTGAAGCCTTCAATAAAATAATATATGTAAGAGAATAAAATAAGAACTCAGAGATTCCAATTAGCAGATAAGGAAGATTGAACAATGGAAGCTTTATTAACTTGAAGTTCTAAAGAAAAGGAGCAAGATGCTCAATCCTTCCTCACATCTATAACTTTCTTATCTCTCTCCTGTTCCCTTTTGTAATTATAGTTTATCTACTCTCATGACCAAACGGAAAAGTTTTTTCTATAACCCACTGGATAGAATCTCTCATCTTTTTATAATCTCATCATATCAATTAAATGTTATTGTTTCCAACCGAAAAAAAAATCTTTTAAACTAAATATTTCAACATCTTCATTATCTTTGCAAAGGTTGAATGTAATGATAAAAATTAGTTCTCACAAAGAGTTCTTAACGATCGTCTATAAGAATTAAGAATTATTCAGTGGTCAAACTTTACAAAGAAGAAAAACTAACCATGGTTGTGTGGTTGACCATTGACAGATACACGCTCCCATGACTTTTCTGCAATTTTCACTATCGCAGCAGTAACCTGCAACATGAATTGCACATATTAGAGAACATCTTTGGATCTATTAACTTTTAGCACCAACTAATAATAAGAAGAAGAAAAAGATCCTGAGGATGAGCAACATGTGCAATGAGGAAAAAGGGATATGAGCAGAAGAAAAGATAAAAATGAAGAAGTTCGAGAAGGAAGCAAGAAACATCGTTTTCTGGAAATTGGAGGATAGATGTTTACTCTGTCCGGCCAATATGTAACTAAATCAGTGGACTGATTATTTACTGTTCGTGCATGCATCTGGAGAACATCTCAAACACTATGGTCATATTTGATCCATGATTGTATGTTCAAGGAAAAAAGGTCTGAATAGATCTATAATGGCAGACTCAGTAATTTTTTTTAACACTTGAAGAACAAGGTTTTTGATTCAGAAAGCAGGTGGGTAATCTACCAATAAAAACCTCAAATTATGCAGATAATTCATCACTAGTTGTAGGAGCTTGACGACACATGACATTTTCAAGAATTTGCCCCCATTTTTCAAGCTTAAAAATGAACTTGTTGGAATTGAAAAAACAATGGTTCCACTTGAACGGCAATAATTATGTAATCTTTATGAAACCTGAAGGACAATGAGTTCCCCCAACGTATTAATAAGTAGTGTATAGCAAGAGAATAAAAACATGTTGGCTATAGTGAAGTTCCAGAACTGGTTAAATGATCATGCAAGAGCTTTGAAATGGAGATGACTATTACTTTCAATGCTTACCCGCTCCAATTTACAACTTCAATTAGCGCCAAACACGCGAATAATTAAGACAAGTTGAAACATGGGATGTACCTGCTTGTAATATGATGTGAAGTGTTTGGCAAGAAGAATCGCAAAATCTTCCACTGAAATTTGATCAGAGCATTCCTTGGCTTTGGCGTACACCTGAATGACATAAATTCCATTAACTTTTAATCGTAAAGCGAGTAACAATATTAGAACCAAAAAATCAATAGTGAACTGTTATGATTATTATGCAGAAAGGTTTAATTCCGTCTTGTTCAAGATTCCAACTCTAGACAATAACTTTCCATCTTTCAGCACCGCACCGTCAAATCAATCCCTTGCATCGTTTTTTTCTTAATCATAAAAAAGCGTAGGCTCTTTTTGCGCGTTGCTCTGTTTCCCAAACTCAAGATCCAAACCCTGCCTTTCAGAAATTTTCCATTCATGAACCGCTTTACTAATCCGTAACACTTCTCAAGATCAGAAGTTACTCGATATCACAAATTTCACTCAAACCAAACAGATACACGAGACACAATCAACAAACCATCAAAATCACCAATGAAACGATGAGAATATAGAAAAGAAAACAATTACAGTATTCTTCATAGTATCAGTTGCAACGATTTCGGAATTATCATCGCTAACGTAAGCGGCAACACAATCGGACATAAGACTGATACCAACGCTCCATTCGACGATGAAATGACGGCCATCTTTAGTCCGCCATACCCGAGCCACTCGAACTCGCTCCTTCCCGTGCTTCTGGTCGAAGTTCAAACCGTTCACTACAACCACAGCGTCTTCAGCCGCCATGAACGTGATCGGAGATCAGTTTTTGGCTGTGAGTTCGAAGATGATTTTTGCAGACGAAAAGCAGCAATAAGTAATGAAAAGTCCGTTGTCCGGAGCTGTTGTTATATCATACACGGCAAGTTACATTTTTAGTGGGACGGTTTTCTTACGTACTTTAATTTTAATATTTAAAAAAATAAATAACTTTGGTGCAAAAAAAAATAATAATAATAATAATAATAAAATAAATAAATCTATATACATATATATATATATATATATATTAATTTTTAAAAATTAATCAATCTATTATAATATTTAAGAATTACTTAAATATTTTTTAAAGTTCGATCACTTATTAAATATAGATTAAAAGTTTAAATATCTCGTACTCTTAAATTATTACTAAAGTTGGTAGATTAAATAGAAAAAAAAATGATAGGTAATTAATTAAAATTTGTAATTTATTTATTTTTAAAAATGCATTTATTATTATTATTATTATCATTGTGATGTCCCACATTGGTTGGGGAGAAAAATAAACCATGGTGTGGAAACCTTCCCCTACCAGACGCGTTTTAAAGCCTTGAGGGGAAGCCCAGAAGGGAAAGCCCAAATAGATAACGGTGGATCTGGGTCATTACAAATAGTATCAGAGCTAGACACCAGACGATGTGTCAGCCTTCTAGTTGTTCCTCGGTAGACACAAGACAGTGTGCCAGTAAGGACGCTTGGGCCCCAAAGAGGGTGAATTTGGGGCGGTCCACATTGATTGGAGAAAGGAAAGAGTGTTCGCTGGACCTCGAAGGAGGTGGATTGTAATGTCCCAGTTGGGGAGGAAAACAAACCACCATTTATAAGCTACAAAATATAGCATAAACTTGATTTTTTAAATATTGTATATAAATTTAAGTTGGTAATAAAATGTTAAAAGTTATTAATGTCAATAAATATTTCTATGAAATTAGTGAATATATATTTTTATATTTTTAAATAAATTATAAACCTTATTATTGATATTTATATCCAAATTATGAAGGTTGTTGTCGTTTTATATTCTTTTATCAATATTATTAAAAAAAATATTTTAATTCAGAAAATGTGAATTTGCTTTTGAATTAATATTATAATTCCAATTGTTATTGGTTTTTTTTGTTTGCCAAATTAAATATTAAATTTTCAATTAAATGAACCAAATTTGAAAAAAAAATCAATTTAGAATTTTACATGATTAAATGGGTTGAAATATTGCAAAACGGAAGATACTTTTCAAGAAGATGGCTTGAAAATTACGCGTTTGAAAATAGAGAAGTTTGAATAATTATTAACGAATTGATTCCAACTAACCGTCAGTTACAAGGATGAATAACTCCTAGATGAAATTTAGAATCTATGATGGTCACTCTTAAATACCAAGACGACACATAATGCACAAAGGGTTCAAACACAAGTTTTTTTTGGTATTCCACCACTGTTTCAAACTTAAATATTACATGTTTTTAAATAGGCAAAAAAGATAATTCAAACAATAATATAGTTCAACTACCGACCACAACTACCTAAAAGCTATTAAATACAAAGAGAAGAAAATAAGACCGAGCATAAATAATCTTATAAATGTAATTCAACTATCAAATTAAAAAAAAAAGTCTTCAAATGACTTCTCGACTCTCGAATGCCAAGTGATATTTTATTGTCACTCAATTGTTTTCGAAAAGAATAAAGTTTTGTTGATGAGTTTTACAATATTTTAATAAATAATGAGTTAAATTATAATTTTTAGTTTTTTTTTTGTGTTATTATGATTTATTTTTTTGGAAAATAAATCATAAATTAAAGTTGTTATTAAATACAAATATATAGAAAATAATAATTTAATTGAAAACAAAAAACAAAAAAACTAGAAAAATAAATCTAAAATTAGAAAAACAAATAAACGTTACAGAAACAGAAAAACAAATATCGCTAGGAATTAATGTTCGCAATGGACACGTGTCAGTAAGCTAACTGTTTTTCTAGCTATGCGCGCCAACAAAGCCCAATTATTTCACTTTTCAATAGTTCACATTTTATTTCTTCCCCCCATTTTTTCAACGCTGCAAATTCTCTTGCCGAACCCCAAAATCAGCCGGAATCTCGAGCTTTCCCACTGGAAAGTAACGATTTCTTCTTGATCTTGAGACAATTCTCAACTTTATTCGCTATTTAATATTTTTAAAATTTGAGTTTTGAGCTACGAAGAGGTGTTTGAAATCGCTTCAAAGATGTGTCTGAGGAGTTCTGTGAAAGGCCTGCAAATGCTGGGGGCGGAGGACAAAAAGAGGGTGGTGGTAGTAGGCGGAGGAATCGGCGGCGCTTTTGTTGCTCATTCCCTTCAGTTTGTCGCCGACGTCGTGCTAATCGATCAGTAAGCTTGCTTGTACTTTCGTTTGTTATTGGAGTTCTTTTCGATTCTTTTTCGATTTATTGGATCACGAGTATTGTTATTGATATTAAAACTGAGAATTATACTCGTTGAACGAAATCCTCTTTCGTAATACAAATTGCTGTAACGGATCGCTGATGGTTTTTTAAATATTTAATTTATCACGTTCTTTGCAACAAATCGAGTAGTGTTGCCTTGCTTTTCCTGAACAAAATACTTTTTAGTAAGGTTGTAATGGTTTGATTGGTCAGGAAGGAGTATTTTGAGATCTCATGGGCTGGTTTGAGGTCTATGGTGGAGCCGTCATTTGCTGAAAGATCAGTGATTAATCATACTGATTACCTTCCCAATGCAAGAATTGTTCCATCTGCAGCCATGAGTATCACGGACAACGAAGTTTTTGTTTCAGATGGCTCTTCAGTTCCCTACGATTACCTTGTCGTTGCTACCGGTCACGAGGAAACTGTTCCAAAAAGTAAAACTGAAAGGCTCAGTCAATACCAAGCAGGTGAATAAAGTTGATTAAATGATTTTTTTTATGTTCGTTATTGAGGTAGAACTGACCATGCTAAAATTTGCAGATTTTATTTTTTCTTTGTTGCTTTATTTGCATACCTGATATGCAACTTTCACTACAAAATTTTGTTTGTGTGTTTGTAATTGTTACGGCCCAAGTCTATCACCAGCAAATATTGTCCTTTCTGGACTTTCTCTCAAGATTTTTAAAACACCTCTGTTAGGGAGAGGTTTCCATACCCACATAAAGAATGCTTTGTTCTCCTTCCCAACTGATGTGAGATCTCACTGTCCACTCCCTTCCGGGGCTCAGCGTCCTCACTGGCACTCGTTCCCCTCCTCAACCGATGTGAGATCTCACAATCCACCCCCTTCAGGGTCTAGCGTCCTCGCTGACACTCATTCCCTTCTCCAATTGATGTGAGACCCCCAATCGATTGTGAGATCCCGCATAGGTTGGGAAAGAGAACGAAGCATTCTTTTATGAGTGTTTAAACTTCTCCTTAGCATACACATTTTAAAAACTTTGAGGGAATCTCGAAAGGGAAAGCACAAAGAAGACAATATCTGCTGGCGGTGGACTTGGGCTGTTACAGTAGTCTCTTAAAGCAGTAGAGTGACGAGGGACTCTTGACTGAGAAAAACTGGTTCCTTACCTGTCTCAAGGGATTTGTACATTAGCTAGACAGAATTCCTCTTACTTTTGCACCAGCAACTTTTGGAGTTGCCAGGTTCTAATTTTTAGTTTGCCTTTATCCAATTTTAGTAAGAGCAGGGATAAAGATAAAATTATAAAGAGCATGATATTTCTCTAATGTTCTTGGTGAAATTCTTCTTGATGTAGTGAAATCTAGGCTCAATCTCCTAGGTTGATAACTTATAACTCAAAAGTTGTCTCTTGGAGCTAAGTTTGGGGTGGGCGAAGCATAAACATAATACATGTGACACTAGAGAGAGGTTTAAACCAAGTTTCGTTTCTGTAACAGCCCAAGCCCATCGTTAGCCGATATTGTCCTTTTTGGGTTTTCCCTTTCGGGCTTCCCCTCAAGGTTTTATAACGCGTCTACTAGAGAGAGGTTTCCACACCTTATAAGGAATGCTTCATTCCCCTCTCCCCCAATGTGGGGTCTTACAATCCACCCCCCTTGAGGGCTCAGTGTCGTCGTTCGCATATCGCCCAGTGTCTGACTCTGATACCCTTTGTAATAGTCCAAGCCCACCGCTAGTAGATATTGTCCTCTTTGGACTTTCCCTTTTGGGCTTCTCCTCAATGTTTTAAAACCCTTCTATTAGGGAGAGGTTTCCACACCCTTATAAGGAATGTTTTGTTCCCCTCTCCAACCAACGTGGGATCTCACCATTGGTTAGGGCCTCAATCCTTACTGAAGGGCATGTGGGGAAGCTCAACTACCTTATCTTGCCATCACATTTGTTTACTTCGTTCAAACGTATAGGGGTAGGATTTGGAAGCAGCATAGATGTTCTGCACACCAAGCTAACTTGTTCTTTTTGGATACAGAATGTGAGAAGATAAAAGCTGCCAATACAATTTTAATAATTGGAGGTGGTCCTACTGGCGTAGAACTCGCTGCTGAAATTGCTGTTGATTTCCCAGAGAAAAATTTGAAATTAATACACCGGGGGTCGAGATTAATGGAATTTGTCGGGTTTAAGGCTTCCCAAAAGGCACTTAACTGGTTAACATCAAAGAAAGTTGAAGTGATCCTACAACAATCTATTTCAATGCAATCTATATCAGAAGGAGTATATCGAACTTCAGGCGGCGAGACTATTGCAGCCGATTGCCACTTCATGTGTACCGGAAAGCCAATTGGATCAGAGTGGCTGAAAGAGACCGTCTTGACTAACAGCTTGGACATCCATGGAAGACTGATGGTTGACAAGCACATGAGAGTCAGGGGTTTTAAAAATGTCTTTGCAGTTGGAGATATCACAGACCTCCAGGCAAGTCCTTTATCTGAAAATCTTGACGTTTCTAATTAGCCATTATTGCATCTAATTAATATCTAAAGTAGATAACATTTATCTTGTTTATGAATCAAATTTCATCTGATTAAATTTGAAAAAGAGCATTGGAGTTGGTAATTTTGTAGATGACTACCAATTCTACATGGCACTCATCGAT